TCCTTATGTTGGGAACTTCTCAGAGTCAAAGAAATTAAAGCTTCTTTATGTTGAAGTTTATTTTATTTTCTTTTGGAAGCTCCACTATATATATTGCTAACATATTTGAAATGTCTTCATTCTTTAATTCAACACCCCAAGGGGAAAGGTGCTTCCTGTTGAATGGCAGTAGGTGTTGAATTATAGACTGTTAAAGTGGCCCTTCAGTTGGGACTTGAAAATGGGTTGGATTAAAAAAAGTTATACTGTAATTATATTTAAAATTTTTTGGTCAACAAACAAAAAAATGAGAAAAAATTAAATCCAATTTAAAAGGCTTGAGAGACCAATGTATATACATTTCATAAACACAAGGTAATAAGACCAAATCCAAATTAATAAATAGTGTGTGACGTTTCAGTAACAGAGTTGTTACCATCTACAGACTCAATGTTTCATTCAGTACTTTTGTCTGAAGATGGTAACAACACTGTTACCGAAACGCCACACACTATTTATTTGGATTTGGTCTTATTACCTCTTCTTCTTCTTTCTTATCTCCACTCAATCATATTAGGGTATCAAGTTTTGACCCTTGATGTTTTTGTTTGACAACCATCATGACTGGGTGAAGTAGAATGCGTCTGCCTTTGTCATTAAGATTGGGAGCACTACTCAGTGGCAGGCCGACTTAGCTCCAAAAGAAATGGCCACCTTTGACATGAGGAACAGACGCCATGTGCAGCCTATGTATGGAGTACAAACGCTGCCCATCCTGTATTACTGGATCAGGAGCCCATACAGAGTACTATCAGCCGGGCCAGCTGAACCCAGGTTTTTTAGTGAGATGTTACTGCTCCCCTCCTCTTTTTTCATCCGGGCTTGGGACCGGCAAAGGTGGAGGTCTTATAACCTTATGTTTATAATCTATAATCCAAATTGTAACTTATCAATTCATTTCACAAAAAAGGTATAAAAACCAAAAACCTTTGAGTCCAGATACCAGAAACTCCTGCTCACTGACAGCAGTGAAGCCTCTAAGGTCCCAGGAGATCCTCACCGGCAGCCTTCAGGGCCACCTGAAGATGTGGGACCTGCGGCAGGGTGTAGCGCTGGCCTCCATGCCCACGTAAGTGCTGTCCTGGCATCCATGTCATGTGTGGAGGACTGTGATTGGCTGCTGCTGCAGGAGTGACAAGCAGGCTGCCATCTGGAGTCTGGCTACCTACCCCGGCCAGCCCCACGTGGTGGCTACAGGAGGAGAGGGCGGACTGCTCTACCTGTGGGACCTGCGTTGGGTCCAGGCCCCTGTGGAGGTCCTCTCCTCCGGCAGCTCTTCCACCTTGATGGAGATCCACTTCCACCCCGACCGTCCCTCTCACCTCTTCACCTGCAGTGACGACGGCTCTGTCCTTCTTTGGGATGTTCCCACAGCTTCAGGTACCATCTTTACACCTTCTTTGATCTTTGTATGGACTACATTGTTTGTAACTCTATCCCTTCACAAGAACCCAGCAACAATGTCCATCAAAATGTTGTTGTCATGTCCAATAAAGAGATTCAGATGTCTCCATTCACTCAATGTTTATTATACAGTAGAATCTCTATGAGAGGACACTCTCTCTAGAGGATACTTCTCTACAAGGGACAGTTTTTTTTTATTCGCAAAATTACCATTTTTACTCTATAGAAACTCTCCGGTAAAAGGACACTTTGGCTCTGCAATTAGGTGTCCTTTACAGGAAGGTTCTACTGTATAAGCAGAATTGTCCAATACAGTATTAGAGCTCTAAGAGGCGGTCTGGTGGATTAAATTGGTGAAACCGCTGGGAGGGTTCATCACTGATGAACCAGGCCCTCCCAATATTGTTTCATCATAGTGGGGACAGTACAGTAGACTCTCCTATAACGCGATTATGTGTTCCGTGTTGTATGAAATCGCGTTATAGGATTTAAAGTTTATTCACTACGTAATTTTTTTTTTTTTTAATATACATTTACATATAAAATAATATAACATTTAGTTTTGTTTTAGTATATAATCATTTTTCATATATACATCATTTTATACAATACATTTTTACATGATACAGTATATCCTTTTAAATTTTTCTTTTTTTCCAACTTTATTCATCACTACTTCGTTCAAAAACAAAAAAATTGAAAAACGCGTGTGCATAAAAAATTAAATGTATTGTACAGTTGTCAATAAGGAAATTTCCGCATTTTATTTTATAACGCATTATACGAAAATTCGCGTTGTATAAATAAATTTGTCGCAATTTTTTTATCGCATTGTACAAAATCGCGTTGTAAAAACTCGCGTTATAGGAGAGTCTACTGTAGAAGTTTGATTTGTGTGAAAAAATAAATAATTGTGCTTTAATGCTTTCAATTCTTATATTGTATATTTGTACAAGTTCATGGAGAGTGAATTCATGGATTAAATATTTAATCCATAAGTCTCCATGATGGAGAGCTGCTGTTGTAGGTTGGCTATTCACACATGACAGTCAGAATTTCCCCCCCCATTATGGAGAGTGGTGATAGAAAGGATTGAATCCTAATTTTGGAGGTTTGTGCAGCTACATCATTGGAGAAACAGTCCAACCCTTGGCTGCGAAAGAAGATGGAAGACATGAAGATTGATTGTATAGTTGAGCCTTCATTGAATATGCCCATCAACTCTTTGGATGTCCGGGACTCCACGCTGGTGTGTGGGTCAGACAATGGAGCCATTGTTCTGGTCTCAGGACTACAGCCTTACAAATAAACCTGTTCACTTTACACATCTTTCTCATCTGCTGGGTCATAAGATTTGTTTGAATTTAATAAAGCCCTGTATATTTTTTTGAAACATTGTTCATTTTTCATCTTGTTTGAAAAATGTTTTGATCAATTGTACTTTTTCCTGACACAGTCTTCTTCTTTCTTATCTCCACTCAATCATATTAGGGTATCAAGCTTGACAACCATCATGATTGGGTGAAGTAGAATGCGTCTGCCTTTGTCATTAAGACTGGGAGCACTACTCAGTGGCAGGCCAACTTAGCTCCAAAAGAAATGGCCGCCTCTGACATGAAGAACAGACACCATGTGCAGCCGCTCCTAACATGGAGTACAAACGCTGCTCATCCTGTATCCCTGGATCAGGAGCCCTTACAGGGTACTGTCAGCCGGGCCAGCTGAGCCCAGGTTTTTTAGCGAGCTTGTTACTGCTCCCCCTCCTCCTTTTTCATCCGGGCTTGCGACCGGCAAAGGCGGAGTTCCTGACACAGTGAAAATATTTAGTTAGCAAGGCAGATAGATTGAGGGAAAAAGTATGGGATTCTTAAACAAGAAGTAAGTTCATTGGAAACTATGGGTCAGTACAATTGAGGTCCCTCAGCAGAGCTGACTGCTACAGGACATGTCCCCAGGTGATGGATAGGGGAACGACCTTCAGATATGAAGGCCAACTGTGAAACAAACAGAATGACTCTGATGAATAAGCAGTTGAAGACCAACAGCAGCATTGTTAGAAGATTAGAAAGACCTCTTTAAAAATCCTGAATTCAACTGACCCAGTTGATAGACCTCAGCAAGGGCCCTCTCCAGGGATACGGAGGAGCTGTGTCTGTACTCATGTTAGAGTCAGCAGCAGAGGTGTCTGCTTCCATGTTAGGAACGGCCTCAAATTACAGGCAGAGTCAGACTTTCACCAAAGTGTGCCTGGATCATGGTACCATGATCAGCGAAAGCTGCACCCCTACACCCCATTCCATGAGATCATGGAATCACTTACAGTAAAAGCAGTCACCTACTTCTACCCACCATGAATTTCATGGCCTGCATAAAGTGTTTTTTTTTTGCTTATTCCTAGTACACGTGGTACAGGCCATGATAATCATGGTGGGTAGAAGTAGGTGGCTGCTTTTACTGTAAGTGCACCACATGTCTACACATGTGAAAAGCAGTGCGACTTTGCACTTACAAATGTGCCAGAGCCCCATTTGGTTACTTGCACTCGCTGGTGGGGTTGGACTTTTGCAAGAATCGGGGGTCATTGGAGCATTTTTTTTTTTTTATCAGAAAAAAGTGCCCAATGCAGGAATCGAACCCGGGTTGTAGCAGTCGAAAACCAACGGTTTAGACCATCCTTCCACTGACAAGGGTATCAAGTGTACTAGGGATAAGCAAAAAAAAAAATAGATCATGGAATTATTGTAATCTTTACACAAGGAGATAGGGAACAACAATTAAAGTAATAGTGGCCTCACCACCCTGTGTTATTCTCTACCCAATTTGGAGATAAATATTCAAACTGTCTTAGTTTTATCTAGAATATTTTTACACACAAGGTAAAAGACCAAATCCAAATAAATAAATTGTGTGTAGCTCATAAGAAGAATAACTTCTTAGGTCCATTAAAGCCTATCAAAAATGTAAGGTACAATTTGGTTTATAGATTAGAAAATATAAGTTTTCGAAACGATTATAAACACATAATATTCTTTTAGAAATTAAACAATTTTCTTTACTGCCCTTACTGCAATGAAAAATTTATTGGGAGGGCCTGGCTCATCAGTGGTGAACCCTCCCAACTAACGAAACCGCTGGGAGGATTCACCACTGATGAGCCAGGCCCTCCCATTAATAGTTTTAAATTCCCATAACAGATGGTGGGCTACTGTATTATATTAAAAAAATATAAGTGTAGTGACTGAAAATATATAAGTTGTTTGTAAAACAACATTTGAAAATTATCCTGCATGTGTTTCTTTTGAACGAAAAATCAAAATTTATTTTAAGGAGAAAAAATCAAACCCACAGTGTTCCGCTTATGGGGCAGATACCATGTCCACTAGGCTACCCTGGACATATTTTTCCGTTTGTAAATAATACATAAAGTAATTTATAATACAATATAATATAATGCGGCTTGTGATTGTAAAACGACATTTGAAAATTATCCCGCATGTGTTTCTTTTGAATGAAAAATTAAAATTTATTTTAAGGAATAATAACGATTATTTCTAACCTTCTAGCCTAGTGGACATGGCATCTGCCCGGTAAGCGGAACATTGGGTTCGATTCCCATCCCTGGACACTTTATTTTTCCATTTATCATTACTCTTCACAATTCATCCTTTCATACCTCATCTCAAGGTTCATCATCAATCAATCATCAAGGTTAGAAATAATCGTTATTTCTCCTTAAAATAAATTTAGATTTTTCATTTAAAGTAAACACATGCAGGATAATTTTCAAATTTTGTTTTACAATTATAAGCCTCATTATATTATATTGTATATAAGTTGTTTGTTTATGGCCCTTGTGAGACACCAGTGTTCAGAAGTTATAAGTTACAATTTAGATTAGAACTATAAGGTAATAAACCCAAATTCAAATAAATAAATAGTATGTGACATCTTGGTAACAGCGTTGTTACCATCATCAGACAGAAGCCTAAATGAGAAACTTGATAAAAGTACTATTTAAGAACATGCTGTGATATTTTTATTCATTTAGTATTTTGTCTAATGGTAACAATGCTGTTACACTGAAACGTCATACACTATTTGGATTGGGTTTTATTACCTTGTAATAGTGTTCAGAAAGTTCCATCTATGAATATAACACTCTACAATTGAATTGGAATATTCTTTCTTATCTTCACTCAACAATCATATCAGGGTATCTGATACGTTTCTATTAAATATTGAATATTAATGGTGAAATTTATTTTATAAGAAATTGCACTTTATATATATTTAAAGATAAATGAAAGATACACCATTTTTATGCTACTATAATTATTTTATTCTTTTTACTATTCTTACACACGTGCTCATTATATATTGAACATTTTGTTGTCTACAAGATGATGATAAAAACAAGATGATCAAAACAGAGTAAAGTAATAATATATCACTGATATATTATCTTTAAACAAAACAGATCATTCCTCCTTCCTTATATTGTACATAGTTGGAGAAAACTGGCAAGGAGGGCATCGAGGTCGGGTAGATCTCCTAGGTGGAGGTGACGTGGAAATTTGAGGGTCTTGTTCCAGTCGGTGAGGTCCTGCTCCAGCGTTGTCCAAGGTCCAATCAGAATCTTCAGCATATTTGGTATCTGAACCTGACCTCATCTGATTGACATGCACTTTAAATGTGCCTTTTAGGTTCTTTACTAGATAAACATTGTAACCTAGTCGTCGTATCACCTGGGCCTTGAACCATTTGCGCCTATTTTGTATTACTCTTGTAAACAGCACTTTATCTCCAACTTGAAAATGTCGCCTTCCACACTCATTCCTCCCAAAAGTCCTCTGGATAAATTCAGAGTTCAAGCAATTTACAAATGTTCTAGGCACATAACTTAGGAGACGTTCTACAGGAGGCTTATCAAAAGAGGTAGGCGTATTTCTATAATTAAACAGAACATTTTGTAAAATACAGTCCATATTTGAGTTTGGAGATTCCTCTAACGACTTTTCCAGAGATTTTTTTATTATTCTTACCGAAACTTCAGCAATTCCGTTAGACGAGGGATTATATGCTGGCGAGGTTAAGTGGTATACATTATTTTTCCGTAAGAACTCCTTAAATTCAAGCGAATTGAAGGGGGGGCCATTGTCAGACACTAAGCATTGCGGTAATCCATACCTGGCGAAACACTCCCGTAGAGGCTTAATATTTTCTTGTGAAGTAGTACCTCTAACTGGGAATACTTCAATCCAATTTGAATTTGCATCTACTACCAATAAATAACAATCACCTCCAAAATAGAAATGGTCAACATGAACTCGCAGCCACGGTTGGTTAGTCCTGGGCCAAGGTGTGTTCTCAGCAGGAGGAGCTGTCTGATGATGCATACAGGGAGAACATTCCTTCACAAACTCTTCAATTTGACTATCCATTTTTGGCCACCAAACCGAAGATCTGGCTAGAGATTTCATGCGATTGATTCCTATATGACCTTGATGAAGTAACTTCAACATTTGATCTTGACAGGTTCTTGGAATCACTGCCCTAGAATCAACAAAAATGCATCCCTGCAGTATAGAAAAATTGTCCAATTTGATACGCCATTTGATACGTTTCTATTAAATATTGAATATTAATGGTGAAATTTATTTTATAAGAAATTGCACTTTATATATATTTAAAGATAAATGAAAGATACACCATTTTTATGCTACTATAATTATTTTATTCTTTTTACTATTCTTACACACGTGCTCATTATATATTGAACATTTTGTTGTCTACAAGATGATGATAAAAACAAGATGATCAAAACAGAGTAAAGTAATAATATATCACTGATATATTATCTTTAAACAAAACAGATCAGTATCAACCTTGTAGAGCTTGTTGATGGTGTCTGCTGGGATGAGTAGAGTCATGAAAGGAGATTTGACATTCATAATGAGATTGGGTGAAGTAGATGCTTTCATCTGCATCTTTTATTAAGACTGGAAGCACTACTCAGTAGCAGGCCTACTTAGTTCCAATATGTAATGACTACCTCTGACATGAGGAACAGACACCATGTGCAACCGCTCCTAACATGGAGTACAGACTCATCCTGTATCCCTGGATTAGGAGCCCTTACAGGTTACTATCAGCCGGGCCAGCTGAGCCCAGGTTTTTTAGTGACCTTGTCACTGCTTCCCCATCTCCATCTGGACTTGGGAAGTTGGCAAATGGAGCAAAAGCAAAGTTGGAGTATTATTACTATTAGGTGCAATTTTGAATGCTGTCAAATATTTTGGGTTCAATACTTTATCAAGAATTCTTTTAACAGGCAGACAATATACAATAGCAGAGCGTTAAGATAAATTATACTGGCCAAAATTCTGGGAGGTTTCACCACTGATGGCTCTTCTGCTATTTTAAACACTAGGAAATTCTTTTGATTGAAAATTGCACTAATTTCTTTTTTTACTTACACGATTTACTTTCATGGACAAAAATTAAGTCTTTGATGTCGCTAAACATCTATCTTTTGAAGGAAGTAGGTAACTTTGTTCACACCTGGTTATCTCATGTGTCTTCAATTAAGGTCACTGTGTAACAAGTATCTTTCAGAGTTATTGTCTGAATCCTGATAAACAGTAGAACCTCCCTATAAATGACAACACCTAATTTCAGAGCCAAAGTGTCCTTTAAAGAGAGGTGTCCTTTTACCAGAGAGTTTCTTAATACAGTAGAACCTACCTGTAAAGGACAATACCTAATTACAGAACCAAAGTGTGCTTTAGGGAGAGGTGTCCTCTTACCGGAGAGTTGCTAAATTGTAAAAATGGTAATTTTGCAAATGAAAACTGTCCTTTGTAAAGGGGTGTCCGCTAAAGGGAGGTTCTCCTGCAGTAAAAATGGTATTTTGCAAATGGAACTGTCCTTTGTAGAGAGGTGTCCTCTCATGGAGGTTCTACTGTATATGCTAAAAGGTACAATTTCCTTAAGTCTTCCTTCTTTTTCTTTCTTATCTCGACTCAATCATATTAGGGTACCAAGCTTGTAAAGCTTGTGACTTTTGATGGTGTCTGCCGGGGAAGAATAGAGCTCTTCAATGGATGAGTCAATAATGTGTTTTGGGGTTGCAGGCTGACACTTAGTACTTAGTGGGAAAACCTTGCAACTATTCTGAAAAGTCATTGTCTGGAGATGACCAGACTTTTTTGATTTCCAGACTTAAGACTGTTGTTCTATTGGAAGGACAGAACCGGTGCTTGTCCCTCCTGCTCTGTACCAGTCATGTGCAGCGTTAGATTTCCATTCCTGCAGGACTTCCTTAAGTTTTGTACATGAGTGGAGGGAAGGGTAGATAAGGAAGTAACCCCTCCCCCCCCCTTATATCTCAAACCTGGCCTCATCACCCCCTGTGCAGAGTATTAGGCTCATAGAATGTTGAGCTCTGGAAACCAAAAGGAATAATACTCTGCTAGTGATCTCTTTTGACTTGTATATGACATAATATAATATAATAGGAAATAAACTAATGCTTAGTTAATCTTGCCTCGTCTTGGATAACAACACATGGTGGCAGCGGTGGGATGAATTCATAAAGAAGGTCGTTGTTCGAAGAAAATTTGAAATTCGACATCAAGCAAGATTATGTTATCCAAGACGGGACAGCCAAGACCAGGATCCAGAGAAGAGCCTCCCTTCAATGCCAGCCGTGCATACAGATATGGAAGGGCAGTCAAGATACCTCGAAGGTTCCTGTAAAGTTAAGGGAGGAGATGTGCAGAGTATTAGGCTCATAGAATGTTGAGCTCTGTAAACCAAAAGGAATAATACTCTGCTAGTGATCTCTTTTGACTTGTATATGACATAATATAATATAATAGGTAATAAACTAATGCTTAGTTAATCTTGCCTCGTCTTGGATAACAACACACCCCCTGCCCTCAACTTGTCTGTGCCATACACCTTGTATGCCAAACTGTTCTCTTTTCATCAGAAGAACATTTTATCTGAACTCTAGTTTGGAAACATTTTTTTTTTATAATGACGAATTTTTTAGCATACATTGAGTAATTAGATCTTTTTCAGATATTTTTTATCTAAAAAAAAAAAAAAAGGAAGATATACTTTCCCATTTCATAGAAATTAATTTTGTTCAAGTGAAGGAAATTTGATTTAAACAAAATTTAAGAACAGGCTAAATAATCCATTTTTTAACAACTATATTATACAATTTATATATAGATTTATTAAAATTAACGTCGCCTTTTCCATATACATGTACAGTTAAACCTGTCTATAGCGCCCCCTCTTGGGACTCCCCAAAATAGGGTGTTATAGAGAGGGGGGTACTATAGACAGGTCACTTTTAATGTAAATCGTATCGTACTACGTATTTAAAATCGGGCGCTATAGAGAGGGAGCGCTACAGACAGGTTTAACTGTATATCTATTATGAAGAAAAAAACATCGATTTTTAAAAATGAAATGATTTGGTTGGGGTAAGGTTATATTAAAATCTATTTGTATGTAAATTGATCTGTGAGCTCTTTATATTTATTATTAAAAATATCTATATTCGTTTAAAATTATATTTGAATAATTAATATTACGGAAAAAAAAAAAAGAA